TTTTTTTTTTTTTTTTTTTTTTTTTTTTGGTACCAGGGATTGAACTCAGGTCCTTGTGCTTGCAAGGCAGGCCACCAAACCATTGAGCCAAATCCCCGGCCCGAAGAATGTGGTTTTGAAAACCGACTTTGGATTACAATTACAACTGTCAGAAATATCATTAAAACAAAATGTATTGTCTTTCATAAAAATGTCCAACCCTCAATTCATAATACATGGCAATTTTAGACTATCATTTAGTACAGCAAAAGAATATAAAGTGTCCTTTGGATTTGTTATATCTATCCTTGAACTGTACGTGACTGGAATATCTTTCACTTTTTCCCCTCTGTTTCAGTCTTTTCCATGAGGGATTAGAAGAAACTGTTTCCTAGCAGCAATTGATTTTCTTTCAGCTGGAAGGTCACATGCATCTGACAGTACCTTTGAAGGTTGCCAAGAGTAGGCAATTGCTAGTCACCAATAATTAGTGTCTTTGGTTATGCATACGATTTGGCAAGATGATTTGAGAGTTGTAGAAAATCTAAATAAGAGGATCAATATTCCCCTTAAATCCTTTAGTCACAGCTAGATATTATGCAAGGCATAGGCTCTCTGATTCCCTTTTCAGGATAAAGATAATAACTCCAACTGGTCCAAGGGGATCTAAACAGCAACTGTACAAATGGCAATGATGTCAAGGGAACTTCTCTGAGCAAGTTGATAGTGGTTCTCTGGAGGTTTCCTGGGAGTATATCATTTCCCAAGCGTGCTGCCTGACTTCTTCTAGTATTTACCTGGAGGAAAGTGAAAATAGGTTGCTGGGGTATTCTTTCGTTATCTTATTTTCCACCCGAGTGTCCTGTTTGATCCTGATTTTTTCTCATATTTCCTTCTGAGACTTTCTGGAGTTGCATTTAAAAAGAACTTTTGAAAATAAAGACTCATGTGCAGTCTTTGCTCTTCTTACCCCCTGCCCACCTACCCAAAAGCCAAAGTAAACTTCACTTTAACTAACCAGTAAGTGTTGAAGTTGTTCCAGATCACCTTGCCACGAACTTTGTAGCAGTTGCATTTGGGGAGCCTTGACTCCATTTACTGCCAAGAGTTGTCTTTGAATATCACAGTTAGCTACATGGACTGCCGTTTGATTGCTATAATTGCAAAGGGTGATATCTGCTCCCTTTTCCAGAAGAAGTCTAACAACCTGTAAAATAACAGCATTCTAATTTAATATTTTTGAGCATCAACTATACCTTCAGAGTTGGGTAGAAAACATTTAAACATGGGTCTGATTGATGACACAGGAAGGACAATAAGAAAAGAATTAAATTGACAGTTGTGGACTTGGGTGTATAGCTCAGTAGCAGAGCACTTGTTTAGTATGTGTGAGGTCCTAGGTTCAGTCCCCAGCACCAGAAGAAAGAAAGAAAGAAAGAAAGAAAGAAAGAAAGAAAGGAAGGAAGGAAGGAAGGAAGGAAGGAAGAGGGAGAGAGAGAGAAGGAATTTAGATGCAAGTGACTGCTATTTGCCTTTGTAAATATGGGAAACAAAAATCTCTACAATATGAATGATTTAGGGTATATTTTTAGACCAAAGTTCTATGAGTATTTTGTGTTAAAGCCACACAACATTAAAGTTTTATAAAATAAAAGACTCGTGTAGTCTTTGCCCTTACCACCTGCCACATACCCAGAGGCCAAAGTAGGCATCACTTTAACCCAAATCTTTTAGACCCAAAGATTCAGATCTATATATTCTTTATGTCACAAATTTTTCTGTAGGTGTTTCTAGGAGGAATGTAAACCACATTTTAAAAGGTGCATTGACGATTTATTCAGCAGATATGGATTGGGTGCCCAATGTGTGCCCAAGACCTGTCCTTGATGCTGAGCTTTCAACTGTGACCAAGAAAAAAGTCATACATTGTAAAACATGGATAAACCTTGTAAACATTATGTTAAGTGAAAGAAAGCCATTTACAAAAAACCACATATTTTACAATTGCATTTATATGTAAGTACAAAATAGGAAAAGTTATAGCTACAGAAATTATACTACTGGCTGCTTAGGGATGGGGTGGGGAGTTGGAAGGAAGGATAGGGAGGGATATTTAAAGGGTATTGGGGGTTTTCTTCTTTTGGATGAGGACAGAGTTCGTGAGGTGATGAAAATGTTCTAAACTTGTGTTGATGATTGCACATTTATGTGAATACACTAAAATTCATTGAATTATATAATTTAAAATGGATAAATTATATAGTGTATGATTTATATCTCAATAAAGCTATTTTTAAATGCCTTTGTAGGGGCCGGGGATTTAGCTCAGTGGTGCTGTCACCTGCTCCACAAGCGCAAGGTCTCGAGTTCAATCCCAGGCA